ACTGAGGACCCTCTGACAGCAGGATGCTCCCCAGCTGCTGGCCTCACTGGAGCTGCTGTTATTAAACCTTTGAATGAACAAATCAGAGGTCTGTTTACCAAGCTTGCCCCCTTGGTAACACAATTTGATCAATTCCGGAATTCTTTTTGATAGGTAATTAAAAAAGCTTTTCCTTAGGTATGGAGTGGATTGAACCATTAATTACACTTCACAGCCCTAGAGATGCAATTCTTTTGCTATTGTGAAATGTCTATGGCAAACCACAAAAATGCTTGCCTCCATAAAAGAGCTGAATAAATGAAAGCAATTTCCTCAAGACCCAGATTTCCCTGCATTTTATGGCTAAAGACTTGAGTTGCCACGGCATTAATAAGTTTGTTCTTTAGGGCTGAATTTTCTCAATACAAATGTCCATGACTGTAACACAAAGAAATATCTTCTTTGGCTGATAGAGCCAGCAGACTGAATCCATATATTAATATTATTGTTATCACTGAACTGCCACAATGCACTCAGCATCCAGTTGCTCAAAAAAAGATCAGTTAAATTAAAGATCCTCACCAAGCAGCGACAATTTTGTGTAAAAGCCAATTTAGCCATTATGGAAGCTGCAGGATCATATTAACTTTTCTCAAAAGTATGCATAATGCATGACAGCAAGTGGTTTTGACAAGTGCCTGAGTGTGTGTGTCTGCGTGTGTGGATGTGTCCTGCATGTAAAGAAAGCCCTGAAGTTATTTAAGTTGCAAAGTCAAGTGATAGAAAGATAGAAAATGCTGGATTTACAGGTGTTGCACCTGTTCAATTCAACCCCTTGCAATCCAGCCTGTGCATCAAAAAGAACAGGGGAATTGATGTTATCCTGAGAGACAATGCTTATGTCTGAAAGCATCTGGCTAGCTGACACTTCCCAATTTTCCAGCATTTTACACTGTAAAACAAACAGCTTTTGTAAGTTTGGGGGCCTTTACCCCTGTCTTTGAATGACATTCCCTACGGTTTTGGACTTTTTCTACTTTCTTTAACTTTGACAAAGTCAAAATCTACTGTCACATGGGGCTTCAGCACCTCTGCCTTCATGCATGACTGGGAAGGGCTGAGTCTGATCCTTTGTTACTGGAGCAGGGGCTGATATTTTGGCTAGAGCTGGCAGCAGTGGAGGCTGTTATTCCCCAAAAAGGGCAGGAGGAGGAATTCTGCCAGCCTGTTGTAGCCACACATGGAAACCTGCTCTCCTCTGCCCAGTGCCTGCAGGGGTTTTGGTGGCTGAGCCTGGGAAGTTCAAAATCTCCACCAAAATCTCTGCTCTGTTGCTTCAGGTCTTGTTTTAACTATTCAGTCAAACATTTTTCCTTTGGCATTATGGTTAAAGAGTCATGGACAGAGCCCAGCAGATTTTACAGCATTCCCAAGGGCAGGATTCAGGACAATTCTACACCTACACATATTGGGAGGGATAGCTGCCAGGAATACAAGTTCTTAGGCTTTCCTACACACAAGGTTCATTGGCATCAGGAGATTATTTTCACTTAGTGCTCAGGTTTTTTCAATTATGACATTCATTTTATATATGGAAGAACATATATGGAAATTACTCCAATAACACTTCACCATCAAATAACGCTTCTCCCAGAGAACCACAGAACAAGCTCTTGCTTAGCTGTGTGCTTGCAAAACAAAAATAACCTGTTCTTTACAAGAAAAGCTTCTCTTTCTTCCATTTCATAGAGGAAATAAGATGTCTTAGTGAGGGCTAGAAGTCCTGCTAATACTTTACTGCTGTGAAGAAAAATCAGGACATTAAACATTCTGAGCTCCCTGCAACATATTTTCTACAGTGGTATAGCCCTTGAAAAACTTCAAATATTATATAATTTATACATCTCTGATAGATATTTTAAAATCTCTGATATTGAGAAGAAAAAGCTGGGATATATTTGTCATACCATGCTAGAATCAAACTGTTATTTTGTAATTATTTTGTGACTTGTAATCACAAGCAAGAAGTTTACTGCCATTGCCTCTATTTGGCACACAAACACAACATGCACAAAATTTGCTCTTGTCTCCTGTACCAACAGAAATTTGTATCCTAAAGAAAAGGTTTCTGAGCTAAAAGGAATAAAAGCAGTGGCAGCAGCAGGTAGGAAAGCAGAACAAAATGTGAGAAAAGCATCTCGAGGGCAGGAGTAGCCACCCAGGCTTGGGACTTTGCTGCAGTGGAAGGACAGGGGGAGGTGACTCCAATTTAGGAGCCTTCTTGGTCACGCTGGCTGACTCTGCACCTCTGTAGTGCAACATCTTTTTTAATTTGCTGCATGGGGATGAAAATACCTCCTGAAAAACAATTATACTGCCAAATGTTTATGAACCTATGCTTGTAGATGGAGTAGAAGGCTTATTCTATCAGAATAAGAGAGTGGACAATGGTAAGAGGGGAGTTCAAATGAAGTAAAATACAATATTTCTCATTAAGCTTGGAATATTACAAGTCCTGAGTTTGCATACTGAAATCATGTTTACTTTCATAAATTGTGACTGTGCAATGTAGACTTGAGTATAAATTCTCCCAGTTCATATGTTTAATACTGGTTTGTGAAAATACATAGATTGAATATTTCAAATGGAAGCCAGAATGGGGAGAAAGCAGAGTTTCATACTTTGGGAATGCAAATTCAAATGTCTTTATTCACAGGCTGGCCATGGACTTTGTACATGGCCTTGGACATTGATTCTACCTTGCTCCTCAATTTAAAAATGAAAAGACCTCTCCTTTAAAAAATGAACAGTTCTGGGAATGACATGAATATAAATCACAAGCAAACTGACAAGATCAGCAATGGAGAGGGGAGACCACTGGGCAAGTCTGCAGACAGAAATTGGACAAGAGTGGTAGTTCAAAGTCAGTCTCAAGCTCATGGAGGTTCAGTTCTCTCCAAAACATAATTAGAGCAGAGTGTCCAAGCCAAAGAGTCAGGCTCAGCTTTGGTACATGTCCTTCTTGTGCTGGGGCCACAGAGCTGGGTGCAGCTCCAGGTGGGTGCAGTACAGAGTGGAGCAGAGGGGCAGGATCCCCTCCCTTCCCTGTGCCCATGGGGAGGGATGGGCCCAGGACAGGTTTGGCTCTGAGTGCACTGGGCCATGCTGAGTACATGTCAGCCAGCACCACCACGTCCTCCTCAGGGCTGCTCGCAAACCTTAAAGTGGGCAAAAGTCTCCTTATACAAAGACCTTCTGCCTTCTCCACACTCTCACTCATTTTCCATACAAATTCAGTCTGAAGGGTTTTCCTGTGACTCATCTAGAGGCAAGTGCATCAATTGCAGCTTCTAGATCTAACTAGAACCACCTCAGGAGTGTCCAAACATGACAAGGGAGGCAGTTCTCCCAGTAACACAGATATTTAATCATGTGGCATGGCCTGATGAGATATCCACAATGAGAACGTCAAAAAGCTCCTCTGAGTGACTCATCAAAGCTTCTAAGCAAAACTGTGGGAGAGCATAATCTGAAGTGAAACATCCCTGCACTGCAAACGGTCTCATGCCTCTGACAGCTGCTGAGCTGGATCTGAGCTCTGCAGCCTTTGCTTTTGCATTTCCTAGGAGAACACATCTCATTTATCCTCATCCCCCTGCCCACAGCAGCAAATAACAGCCAGGTCAAACCTCACCAACCTTCATCTGGGAAACTTCACTTTGACTTTAGGATCTCTGGGCCAGATCACAGCTCCAATATTTGCATAACTACAGACTCGTCTTTCCCCAGCATAATTCCATGATGGATTTTTATGATACATCAAGAGAGGAGAGATGAGACCATTGAACAAATGTGTACCTGCACCAAACGTGGTATCAAGGCAGCACATTGTTTTCTCTTTGCCTCTTCTGATACCTGAGTTTTCTTTTCTGTAGCAAGGGTTTGAGAAAACAAACGCTGAGTCAATACTTCTGAGATCAGTTTAATATGTAACACAGCTAAAGAAATTTGTAGTTAGGCTGAAATTTTGGTTTTGGCAGCTTGAACTGCCTAAAACCCTAATTCAATTGTAATCTACTCACAGACCACAGCTGTTTAGCTTGGCTAAACTTTTCTCACCATTTAATAAGATACTTTTTTATTTAACTTTCAGTTCTGCCTAGGAGCCCCAGTGGGTCTTTTAAAACAGAAGATTATTATTAGAAATTAATTAAGTATTCTTTTCAATTCTGTCTCCTGAGAGCAACTAGGCATTGTTGCTGATCTCCTCTGCATTAAGACATTACTGATTGTCATTCATGGGATGATAGTGTGGATGTCTCATCTGGAAAATATATAACTCCATAAATATGAAAGATTTGAAAGTTATTTAATACAAAATATAATAAATCAGTGCAAATAATAAACATGTAATTGCAATGTCAAGCATAGCACAGGCGTGTGAAGACTATAAACAGTGGAATAAAAATAGACACACATTCCAGAGACAAAAAAAACCTTACTGCAATTACAGGGCCCCGATGGATTGCACTTAGTCCATGTTTCAGCACACTGCAAACCCTGACTAAACAATTCTAAGAATATCAAATGCAATTAAAGACAATTGATTTGATAAGCTGTGGTTATTTTTAAGGGACCAGTGACTATAAAGTGTTTGTTGCACTGCCCCCCTCCCACTGCACGTGACTACAAGAGGCACAGACTAAATCTGCCACCTCTGAAGGCTTTTTCTAAATGAACCAAACCCAAAAAGCACTAATATCCTGATTTAATTTTTGATCTGAGGCATTGAACATGCATATTAATGTACTACTGAGAGAATTAGCTATGCATTTAATTTGGCACTTCATGCTTGAGATGGCAGTTGGTCTATTTCATTTTCACTCAGCTCAGGGGTATCTGTACAAGTAACTGCTGTCATATTCCAGCCAGGAAGGGATGTGAAGAGAAGAATGGCACCATGGGTCAGCAGAACAACAATCAATCCCTTACTCCAAATAATAATGCAGAATTCAACTTACTTTTTAGGTCTGTAGTCAGGGATGGACCTGTCCAGTGATATCCTGTCACTGAGTTGGGCATTGTAACCATACTCTTCATACTTAGTCTCTGATTCATGGCTATCATCTCTCAGGGTAGCAGCCATTCCCCCCTGGCCCAAGCCTCCTGGACCTTCAACTAATCCCATGGGCTTTGCCAGACCTAAATGAAACAGACACAAAAATCAAATTATTAATATAAAGGGTATAGACAGAACCTCTTCTGTGACACAGAGTGTTTTCAGATAAATGAGATCTGAACTCCCAGCTCTTAAGCCCTCATGGCTCTGTGGAAATTATCCTCAGCTTCTCAAACCAAAGTCCAAATCAACACATCTTGTAGTATCTGTGCATAATGAACAAACTATAAAGAATCAATTAGCAGCTTTCACGATTCCTTCTTTTTTCCAAAATGGCTAATTATTGTTACGATAATTACGAAAAAATTTCCCCCACTAGAACAGAAGGGTTTCCTCGTGTAGCCCATTAAAGCTTCACTCATTTTAAGGGAGAGATGTTGGATTTCTACCACATGTGGGTGTGCCAGTTTAACTCCACATTAGTGTCAGTTCTGGTACCTGCTCTGTGACTCCAGGACCTCTGCAGCCCTGGTCCAGGTTTGGTTCCTGTGTTGGGGACACAGCTATGGACTGGCCACCAGCTTCTGCTGGGTAGGAAATACAGGATAAATCTGATATTCACTGCCTGAGTCAACAGATGGATCCTTTGGACTCAAATACACACCCTGCCCAGCCTGTTGCCACAAAGATGTGCTAAAACTGTTTTAATAGAGCTGACACTCCACCTGGGAATCGCTCCAGTTTTCCTCTGCACTTCACATCTGACAAATGAAATATGTAAGGTACTCAGCTCTGTAGAGCTCACAGCAGCAGAAAGTTTGGGCACTCAGTAAGTGCTGAGAAATCAGCCAATTAACAATGCATTTACAGGTTTCATTCACTGGTCAGCTCAAAAATAAAAATAAAACAAAACTAAACCAACATAAAAATGCTTGTATGATCACATCACCAGGAACCTCTTCCATGGCAACAGGCATTTAATTTGGTGCTGAATCCTCATAAATAAGCTCCTCAAATATCCTGTGTTTAATGTCAAAGCTTTCCTTTCCAAAGGCTCACTATCAACAAGTCATTATAAGTGATAAAGTTATTTATAATAACCCTGGGAACACCATACAGGAATGTGTGACTCTTCCCCAAATCATTTATGACACCAAGTAAAGCAATTAGAGCTTGACCTGCCCAACATTTTTCAAATCAAGACTTTTTCAAGAGGAAAATGCCATTATTTCAACTAAATGATTAAAAAGAAAGAAACTGTCAGCATTTGTAGCAACAAACACACATGGCAGTACAAACGTGGGACTGCTTCTCCAAGTCCCAGTAAGAGGGCAGTTCAGACCCTTGGGAAGGAATTCTCTTTCACTTCACTGCAAACAATGTTTTTACTTGTTACAGCTCCATCAGCATCACTGTTTAATGACAGCACAGCCCAGAGAATGAACCAGCCTGGTTCATTACTGACCTGAAAGAGTAAAATTTTGCATTTTCTCCTGCAGTGCTTATGACGAAATCCTGTGCTGAGGTCAAGTGCAACAATGCAAACACACAAATTAACATAAAAGGAATTCTGCTACTGAATTTCAGACACTGCTGGCAGAAATAGATAAATACTGCAATCAGTGGTGCTGAGTCAGGACAGATCTTACTTGTGTTTGTCTTTGATGCCTTCATGCTCTTCATCACCATGCACTGAAACATGACTAAAACTCAAGACTAGTCTGGATTTCAAACCAGAGAAATTCCTCTAGCTAATTAAGTGAAGCACTTCAATCCATGTTCAATATTCTGAAAACATTTTAGGGAGCTTCATTTTGAAGAAAATGGTAACATTTGTCCTTTTTGTTCCAATTTAGAATGAGAGGCTACTTGGCACTTTGACTTTCCTTTGGAAAAATTTGAACAGAGGGCCCTGCATGCCCGGCCTGACAATGATTCCTTGCTTGAGTAATTACAGAAATTACATGTCTGAGACTCCACATCTCTCCCCACTCAAAAGGAAAAACAGAGCAGCCTAATCTTCCTGCATGATACAGTCTTAGACTTAACAGACACCACCTGCAGTGATGCTGCAAGCTCTGCCTGACATGCCCAATATATGGAATCTAAAAGGGACTCAGTTTCTGAGAAAAGTCAGCAGTTCCCTCCAAAAAAAGGAGTCAAATTAAACACTTTAAAAGTCAAAACCCCAGAAAACTTGACAAAGCCTATGTCCTTGAAAGACCATAATGTGGAAATTCATTTGATGTTCATGTGGAATCATCTGGGCTAGGTTCTGATATAACATCAAAGCAAATTGAAGATGACTTCATTAAAATTAACTGACCTGCTTTAATGAAAGGGTCTCCAAGATGTGTTGTGCTCATTTGACTTGAAGCAAAAATCTAATTCCAGTGGTTGAAAACTTTATTCTTCATACTATATTCTCTTGCAATTTATGGAACAAAACATTTGAGTCTTTATGGCACAAGCAATGTGAGAAGGAAACTTCCACCCCACAGGAAGCATCAAGCACTTGGCTATTTTACTTCTGAGAGAATTGCTTAGACTGCCTGCCAAACCATCCATGGTGACAATTATTTCACATACCTTTGTCTAAGTCTGATATTCTAGCTCTTTGTGCTGCTGATCTGATCTTGTTGGGGGAAGGAGTCATCATTTGTCTGACTTCCTCTCAGAGCATATTGCTGTGAGCTTTTTGCTCCAGCTACCACATTGCAGCTTAGTCTGCCTGACAGTTATCCCAGTAATGCAGTAACATTGACCACAATAAAGCAGCAATTAAATAAATGATATCACATTGCTGCCTTCTTCAAAAAGAGCACCAAAGTGTCTCTGGAAGTTCTTAGGAACAATGAATATACTGTATTTTATCTATGTGCATGTGTGTGAGAGGCAGCAATTACAGGCAATGTTCCTCAATGCATGGTTGGTTAGCCAGACCATGCCTCACATATTTGCATTGCATTTTCCACCTCAAAGTTGATTTGCTGTTGCTTCAGCAATTCTCTCCTCAACAGAGAGCTTCCTCCCATCACTTTCTATGTCACAGTGATGACTTGCTAACATCCAAATCCACAGTTACTGCACTGGTCAGGCTTAAAAAAAAAAAAAAAAAAAGAAAAAAGAAAGAAAAAAAAAAGACACACAGAAGTGAAGTTTCAGATCAGCAGCATCTTCACAAAAATAGGTTGGTATCAAGTGGGATCCCAGCCTGGCTGAAGCAGAGCCTGGTGAACACCCCCCAGCACATCCTCCAGGCCCTCATCTGAGAGCACTTTTCTGTTTTCTTCTTGTTTTGAAGCTCATTGCAGACTTCCAGCTCCTTCTCTTACCTTTGGGTTACTCACCTGCAGCCCTAACTCACACCCCTTTTTCCACAGCATCAGAAGCCAACGAGGGCAAGGCCCAGAGCCAGAGCCAAGGACTGAGATCATGGGGCCAGCTCTGAAACGGGGATGTGCACAAAGGGGATGCCCAGTGAGCAGCTGTTTTTCAAGCTGTCTTTTCTTTAAATTTTCTAGACTAAAAATATCTGCAGCTGATACACTGGGAATGGTCATAGACTGTTCCATGCTGCAGATGACAATGAGGTCACAAATAATTAGTGTCTGTCATTCATTTCAAATTTATTGCTCTCACTGCAGAGATTTCTGTGTAGGACAGAAATTGTTAGGAGAATGGAGAGCAGAACAAGCCAGCCTCAGTTCCTTAACCAGATTAATTACTCCACAGGATGCATCATTTTCTAGGAAGAAAAGAGATCTTCTATTTTTCATCATAAACCCTGTCACAATGGGAAAAGTACTAAGGAGATTTATATGAGAAACTACGGCAAAATCTAGATCAGATTATGGCTGTGATTATTTTACTATCATTTTTTTTTCTTATTTGCAACACAATTATAGGCAGCTGTAAATTAGGTTCAGCCAAGGCTCTCAGATAAAATTAAACTTCTGACAAATCAAAATAAAAATAAGTAATTCAAAATAATAATAGAATGTCATAACACTGAGAGAACTGCTGCAAAATTTCCAAAATGCCCTTGCTGGCCTGTCTCAGCCCCAGCTTGAGAAGGACTCCAAAGCCAGACTTCTGGGCTTTATCTACACTTCCATCATTTGCACATTTGAATAGCTGCAGAAAAGTATTTCAGTTTCTAGCACCTTAAAAGGAGGGGATAAAATATTTCCTTCTAAAACAGCTGAGATAGGTCAAAAAACCTGACACAGTCACTCAGTAATTCTACCTGTGACTCATGAAACACTTACACAGGAAACATAAAACTCATCAGAAAACAGTTGTTTCCTTCCTTCTTCAATTATTATTTCTCACTTGAAAATATGACTGCATACTATGTAAAGCAGTAAAAATATTTGGATCCTAGCTTAAACAAACAACAACAACAACAAAAAATTAGGGACAATATAAACTCCACATAGATTGACAAAGTTGACTTTTAGCATTTCCAGTTACAGCTTTGCAAATAAAAGGAAAAGGTTCAGAGATTCTGGAATAGGTTCAGTGACAGCTTAAACAAGACTCAGCTTACAATGTCTTTTAAAGCTATTTTTACATAAACCCAAACAGTTTAGAGGCAGGAATTAAAGCAGTAGCAACTATTGAATCAGTCCCAATGCTTCCACCTTGAATTACTGTATTGTGCTAATTTTGTGATCTCGTTCTGCTGCAGCTAGAAGCTTCAGCTGAAGGTTACAGCCTCAAAGAATGGCATATCTGGAGGCATGGAGGGAAGCACTGATCTTCCTCCTTCAGGAGCTGCATGTCAGAGGGAAGCAGGTGCACAAGGAAAGCAGCTGGTTGGAGGAGGAGGAGGAAAAGTACAGCACAGGTGAGCCATTCAACACTAAGCTAAAGGTCTCAGCTCACCAGCTGTTTATAACTTCATTTTAGTGATCCCTAAAAATAACTATTAGCTGATGATTTCTAAAAGAACATGCTCAAACCAGAGAAAGGCTCTCTGGTGTAAGAAGCCCCTTTTCTTTCACACACACCCAGCACGGCCCCACTGGCATCAATTCAGTGAATGCATTGGCAGTTCACTGCACCAATATTAAACCTG